TCTATTTCTGCAAAAGTAGTTGAAAATTGGCCCTCTTGGCTGGAATTTATTCTAACCAGCCGCGACCGTTGCCCGCAATCAGTTTTAAAACGAACCCTTAGCATATCTAGGAAAAAACACCCTTTACATAGTTATATTATTTGCAACTAAACTTCGATAACGTTTGTCAAGTTGATAGCAAACCTCCAGCAGAGCTTTCTGCTCTGTGAAAATTCGTACTTGGCTGTTGTTGCACTCTTCCACACTAACCTCTCACAATCAGTTTGCTTTCTCTGCAGCGTGACTCTACTCGTGCAACGTTTGCCTGCTTTGCACGTCTGCACTCTTTGCATTAGTATTGTGCATGATTTTGTTTTCTATTGGCGACCGCATGTCTCGCTGTAAGAAAGAGTTGACAACAACAACAAGAAACAGATCCCTGGCATTGCATGTTTTGCTAAAGGCAACAACAATAACCGTAAGCAAATTGAAAGCACAGTTGCTCTTTATTTGTATGTATGAAGGGTAGTCACGTATCGATAGTTTGAAGCAAGCGATATCCAATTACAAGGAAATTTCCAAATTCAATTCGAATATCATGATTTTTTTCAACCCCTTTCATTTTGTTTATATGGCGGCGATTGGTATAGATACTGGACGCTGGACGCTGGACGCTGAACGTCGCTCGACCCCAGTGCGCCACAAACCGACAATATGTCGAAAGCAATCACAGCAGTTGCATGACATGTATGTGTGGAGGAGCTGAGTGCCTTTACCTTGCTGTCTGCGGGTATATGTGTGTGTGTGCAATCGGATTGAGGTCAGCCCATTTTGCATCTTCTAAATAACAAACGACAGGGGGAAAGAATTTTTTGTTTTTATTTTCAGTGGGACCTTTACATAAGCTCATCCGCTTACCTGCAAGCTGCTCAGTGATGCAGTCAGTTTATGTCCAGAAAGCATGTAGCATTCTACATGCAGCCGCAAGCATGCCACATTTGTTGCCAAACACTAACCACATTTCCTTTGTGGAATAATAAATTTATTGCTTCCTAAAAAATGCAGTAAGTGACAAGAGAAGAAAGAGAAAATCACCGAATTTGCGGCGGAGCACAGAGAGAGAGGTGACATGAGTTATAGGCGCGTAAGGTTTTCAAGAACAAATTTTGCGCTTCGAAACGTTCGGTTCGATTACTATGCGTTAAATCGATAACACCACGCTGGAACTGCATCTGAACCATCCTAAAATCCACAACGTTTACCTGCAACAAACCCACAATCTCTTTATGTGAAAGTCTGCGTAGAAATTTTGCTTCTCCATAGAAGACATGAAATACAAACGGAAATATTTTGATAGGTGAGTCAATACGAAACGCTTATTTTTAGTGCAGAAATCTACCCAGACCGTCCGAAAACTTTTAACAGAAAATAGAAGTGGGAAGAGAACAGAAGATCTCCCATTTAGAGTTCTGGCCCCATTGGTGTAGACATAGGCACGGGCTGCCAAAATGGCATCGGTGTGAACTCATCCGGAGCTATACTCTTTAAGGAAGAAGGCTATTTTGGAGATGTGAAGCAATCTAACTGACCATTACTTGATTGCACGGCTGGCAAATAGGCTGAACGCTGTTTTCAGAACTGTCCTAAAAACTGTAAGACAGACATTTCGTAGCAACCACAGCCTAGCCATTAACAAATGCAGACTTTTGAATCTATTAGCAAGTTGGCCTAACCAGAATGTCCTATGGCCCGCTGACATTCTCTTTTCGGACGGATATCGAAGACTATTTGAAGTCGTGATTCTTAAAGAAAAATATTGAGTCAATGAGTGTATATTTTGTTGTCTACTTTATAAAATCATGTGGCAGTTAAGAAAGGAAGAAATACTGGCATCATCGTCGTTACGGAATCTCGTTGCACGGGACATGAATGGACCATATGAAGCACGAAAACATCAAAAGTTGCTTCAGAGTTGGGAAACACCTTTTTGAGCCATTCGATGCTCTACTAGGCTTCAAGGAAGACGAATTTTTACCAAAAAAGCTCCTAAACCATCTTGACCTTATGCCGGAGAAAATATTACCAGCTGTAGAGCTGAACAGGGAAAGTATAATATTAAATAAGAGTGAATAATTGCTGGCGTATGGCATCAACAGCCGCGCTGTGCGTTCTACATTCTACAGACTGGATAGAGAAGCGGAGGAATGAGTCATGCAGCGAACGAGGACAAGACGAAATATATCCTGTTATGAAGCCAAAAATCGACGCATTTACGCCTCGCTCACCATGTCACTTCGAAGTTGTTGATAATTTCGTCTACCAGGAAACCACTAGGGACACCAACATGCCATCAAATTTTTGAGAAGAAAAGTCCATTCTAAACGACCAAAGGACAAACTTTATATCGGTCGCGTCCCGCAGAATTTTGGATGATTACGACATGTGATGAGTCAGCCTTGGGAGTCTACTAGAGGAAGATTTTGAGTCAGCGACTACGGTAGGCTTGTTCAGTCGTACCTATGGGCAACAACACACTGTAGGTCCATCCATTTGTTGAAAAAACAGCAAGACGCAAACCCGCAAATTGGAGAAGGAGCTCGGCCGAACATTGCTTCTACGATAACAAAGCGCCAATTATATACATAGAATCAAAGTTTTAATCCAAAAAACGAATGGAGAATTTTACTGCATCACTATATATATATACATACATGTATATAACCAATGCGTTGTTGTTGTTCCATTGCTTGTTGTTCATCTAGTAAAAAAAAACTAGTACGAAAATAGAAGAAAATCTCTACAAAAATAGCGGAAAATGGGTGTCGCCAAATGATGTCAAGGTGCGTTTATATGCGTGACTGCAATGTATGTGTGACACCATACTTTATGAATAGACATACATACATATACGATATGTCATGCAGAAGTAGATATGCATGTTTTTTTTACTATTCGTCTTTTTTCTTCTTCTTGTTTTGGAGTATTTCCAAATGTCAGCGCAATTTGTGACACACTTGAGGTCATGGTGGCGCCAGAGAATTAACTCAGACATACATACATATGTATGCCTTTTGCATATATTGGTTGTTTCATTTTCAAGCTTCCATTCTGTAGCTCAGTTCCAGAGTAAAGAGAACTCAAAGTCAAATACCACGATTTTGTAATCTTTTTTAGTTTGTGTATGAATGTCCTCAGCCAAAAGAAAAGTTTTTTTTATCTTACAGGTTTCTTCATGATTATCTTCAAGATTATATAATACCCTTTTGGAACATACTTTAAAAAAATAAGAGTATATTACAAACCCAAACTTAAAAAGACCACCCTCTCTCTCTCTCTCTTTCTCTCTCTCTCTATCTCTATCTCTTTCTTTCTCTATCTATCTTTCTTTTTCTATCTTTCTCTATCTCTATCTATCTCTCTCTTTCTCTATCTATCTTTTTCTTTCCATCTTTCTCTATCTATCTTTCTCCATCTATCTTTCTCTCTCTCTCTATCTCTTTCTCCCACTCTATTTCTCTCTCTCTCTCTTTATCCCTCTCTTTTTCTCTCTCTCACTTTCTCTCTCTCTCCCTTTCTCCCTCTCTTTCTCTTTTCCTCTCTCTCTCTCTTCAGGAAATCAGTAAAAAAAAACAACACATAAAAGTGGAGGCAACAACACAAAAGACTCAAACGAAATCTCTCTTTAGTATCCTTTGTGAGATTTGCCTGATTCGACTTAAAAAGTGTCTTTGTATGCAACGGTACAACCATTTGCTCGGTATAAGCGGGGAGTTGACCAAGGCAGAAATAACAGTAATTGCGATTGAAGTACCAAAATGGTGCATATAAAAAACTTGAAAGTATTGTACTAAAGCTTGTCTGAGCGTATGAAAAATGTATTATTCGTAGCATGAAGAATATTTGTAGCGTTACTTGCAAAAGCTGAGCTTTTACTAAAGAGCTTTACAGCTGCTCTTATTTAATTCATTAAATTTTATCCATTTTAATTTTTATTAAATATTATTTTATTTTACATTATTTGCTTTGTTTAATTAATTTTACTTTTGTTTATTTATTTTCTTTTACTCTAATTTATTATTAATTTATTTCTTTATTAAATCCATTTTCAGCCTATTTTACTTAATTTTTTTATTTTTCCCTTTTCATTCTTTTTCATTATTTCATTTATGTAATTAATTTTCTTAATTTATTTTCTTATGTTTTGTTTTTTATTTCTCATTACATCCTCATTTAATTTTATATAATTTTACCTTTTTTATTTCATTTATTTTAATTTGTTTTACTTTATGTTTTATCCTGTTTTATTTTATTTCAATATCGATAAGCAATAAAAATGTCAGAAAACTTGTTTGGTATGCGATCCGGACGGAGCTTTTGCTGTTTACATAGCCATATAAATTTTGCAAGAAATTAGACATTGCGGCATAGAGGCAGCTCATTTTCATGCTATTGAAGGGTATCTATTTTCACGGGTATCTTCAAAATTTTGGGGCACGGTAAATATCTGGTCATTGGATCATTTGCCAGCTCCAAAGGCACACGTATAAGGTTCAATCAATATGTTGAGCCTTTCACTCATTACACTCCCGGGCGTTCCGAGGTAGACAGCCTGCTTTCTCTCCACTGTGGCATAGCAACCCTCATCGTACCAGCTGTTTTTTCGACCTGTCCGAAATCCAATTTTTTCGTTTAAAATTATTTAACTTTTCTTCTTTTATGTTGCTTTATTTAATTTTATTTGGATTTTATTATATTTTATTTTAATTTTAATAATATATAAGAATACTTTATTTTATTTTTATCAAATTTTTTAAAAATTTTACATTTTTTTTTTATTTGTTTTAATGAATAAATTTATTAAGAATCGAATTTGTTTTTTCCAGGAAATACTTTTTAGTATTTACAAGGGTTTCATAATGAAAGCTTCGTTGTTTTTTTTTTAAATTATATATATTTATAGTGGCTTTAAACAACGAAAGAAAAATTAAATAAATAAAAAAATGTTTTTAATTTTTTTTCAGGTGCCATTTGTGGCGGTCACTGCTGTACGAATGCAACCGAATCCGAGCTGCGACTAAAGTCGACTGCCGAATTTGAACGCCTGCTGCATCATCACACCAACAGTCTGCGCGGGATACTCAAATCTACGGCGAATTTATTTCAAAGTGAGTAAATTTATTTTTAAGATTTTTGTTTATTGATAAATGAAATTGGATTAATTTTCAAATATTGCATTCTTTCAATTTAAATGAAAATTAGTCTAGATTTATAAACAAATAAAAACAATCAAAATTTATAAAATAATAAAACTGGAACTAATGTAAATTTTATGTTGACTTATTTTTCTAATTGATTTTCTAATTTTAGTTTAATTCTTATTTGTAACTTAATTTCAATAAATTTTGTGATATTTTCTTTTTTTAATGTTAATATTTAAAAATAATATACATATATCTCTCTCTGTAGCTATGGAAGTAATTATAGAAGGTTGATCAGATTGATAAATAAACTATATAATCATAACTAATTACAACAGCAAACAAATTACAAAAGTCAAATGCAGCGCTCTCGGTGATTTCATTTCAATTAAATTCTCTTATCTTGATGAAAAAAATGCTATAGAGACAATGAACGTAATTAACTTAAATCGTTATAAATATTATCTCTCCGTAAATGGATTTGTACAATAATAACAATCAACCCTATTACATAATTATAGAATAACACTCAATTATTTTCCCACCACCAACCCCGCAGCGCGCGCCTTATTCACTTTGAAAATTAATTCCAAACGTCGGATGCATCGGTTTATAAATGGAATTAAATTAGGCGAATTGTTTTTATCCCTTAAGTAATCCGATTTAGTTTCTAATTACTAAAAGCAATAACAACAACAACACTTTAAGTCATTGTTGCAATACAAAATATGCAATATTCATGATAATAGAAAAAAAAACAAAATCAAAAAAAAGATCTATGACATCAGAAATTTTTAGAAAAATATAATAAATATTTTTAATAATAATTCCATTGAATTCTGATTTGGATGCAGAAGCCAACACCCACGCCTAGCATGCTTCGCGCTGGAAATTCTTTGTCTACTTAGTGGAGTGTATTTATGTACATATGTATGTATGTACATGCATATCATTTGAAGCATCAATCAGTTTTTAATTTTATGATGATCACGTTAATTAATTTATTTGCAAATGACATCATACAAATATGTACAATATCTTGGTTTACAATTGAAACACGTTAACGTTTATTTGTGCATACAAATGTGTGTATAAATATAATATTTCAATACACCAACAACAAAATATAATTACCCAAAATAGCAAACAATTGACACACTCCTAAGCAGTAGGCAGATGCCAGCTGGCAATTAGGCAATGATTTCGCTGGAAATTTATGAGTTCAAGGCACCAAAAGCGTAATCGAAGACACAACTGGGTAAAGTAAGCACATATGTACATACCTATATCTGCTGTGAGAAAAAATATATTATATATATGAAAGTATTAATAAAATAAAAATAAAAAAACACAAAATAAAAATAGAATTAAATAAGTAAAAATAATCAAAGTAAAATAAAATGAAAAAAAAAAATAAAACAAAAAATTAAATAAAACAAAATAAATTAAAAAAAAGAAAACAAAATAAAACAATACATAAAAATCAAATAAATTAATATTAAATAATATATAATGAAATAAAGTAAATTATATAAAGTAATTTAAAATAATATAAAATAAATTATATAAAATTAGGCAAAAAACAAGCACAAAAAAGTAAAATAAAATAGCAATATAAAAAACAAGAAATAAAAAAATAAATTAATACATTAAAAACAAATAAATTAAAATCAATGTATTAAAAAAAAAATTTATATGAAACAAAATATGTTAAATAAATTGAAATCAATAAAATAAAATAACTGAAGTAAAATAAAATAAATTAATTTAAATAAAATCAACTAGCACCAAAAAGTAAAATAAAATAGCAATATAAAAAACAAGAAATAAAAAATAATACATTAAAAACAAATAAATTAAAATCTATAATTAAAAAAAAAAATTAATATAAAATAAAATAAGTTAAATAAATTGAAATAAATAAAATAAAATAACTGTAGTAAAATAAAATAAATTAATTTAAATAAATTGAAATAAATAAAATAAAATATAATAAAATTAAAAATTAACTAATACATCAAAATCAAAAAAATTAAAATCATTAAATTAAAAAAATAAATTAATATATAATTAAATATTTAAAATAAAATAATAAAAAAAAAAACGAAATAATATAAATGAAAAAAAAAACATAAATTAATATTAAATTATATGAAATAAAATAAAATGACTTTAATAGATTGAAATAAATAAAATCAAATAACTGAAATAAAATAAAATAAATTAATTTAAATAAAATTAAATAAATAAAGTAAAATATTTCAAGTAAAATAGAATAAAACTAAACTAAATAAAACAAAATAAAATAAAAGAAATAAAAAAAAAACAAAATAATATGAAATAATATAAAAGGAAAAAAATGAAAATAAATATTAATTAACTAAAATGAAATAAATAAAATCAAATAATAAAAGTAAAATAGAATAAAATGAAGTATAACAAAATAAAACAAATAAACTAAATTAAATAAAAATAAAGAAAATGCAATAAGGCAAAATAAACTTTAATAATATAAAAATAATTTAAATCAAATTAACATAAAGTAAATAAAGTAATAAATTTAAAATAAATAAAACAAAATTACATTAAATTACGTAAAATAATATAAGGGAAATTACATTTTAAGTAACATAAATCGAAGTAAAGTCTGATTTAATTGCATTTCATTCAATATAACAAAATAAAATATATTAAAATAAAATAAAGAAATCAAATATTAAATTACATTACATAAACTATAATATATAAAATAAAAATATATGTAATGAAACCATAACAAGCGAAATAAAATAAATTTATATTAAATAAAAAAAAGGTTAAATGTAAAAAAATAAAATAAAATAAACTGAATTAAAACCTTTTAAAGCATAAAAATAAAAGTTAAAATCAAAAATTTAGTTTAACTTAATTTAATGAAAAGTATCTTAATAAAATAAATTAAAGTAAAATAAATTAAAGAAAATATATTTAAATATAGTGTTGTATAATATAATATAATAATAACAATAATAATAATATTAATAATAATAATAATAATAATAAGTAATATTAGAATTAATTAAAAATGTAATTATTAGATAATAATTAATATAATCAGAAAAAAATAGTAAATCAATTATTTAGTATTTTAACTAGAATCCTTTTTACGGCAATACTTCTTAGAATTTGGTAATAATTCTCTTTATATCGTTCTTCTGTGCGCATCATATGAAAAATATGCTTTGTTATGGTATTCATCTCATTTGAGAAGAAAATAAAAATAAATAACAAAAATGTAACAACAAATATGCTCGTACGTACTATGTACAAACTTGTGTACATACATATATTTTTATACATAAATTTACAAAGCATACAAACCTACATATGTACTCTTACATTTCAAATGGCAAAGCCATTAATTGAAGCTTAGATATTTAATGTAACACACGCACACTAATAAATTTCCATACTACAGTTATTGTTCACAACATTCTGCATACGCCTTTGAATTCGTAGAAATTACTGACTGACAAAGCATTTTTTTCTATACAGTCAGCATACATATGTAAATTGAAAACTAAAGAAAAAAAGACAAGGCAATGGGATCGTAATGCATTGAAATAATAAAAAAAAAATTACATAGAATTACATATGTACATGCATACGTTTATGTATGTTTTTTATTATAACAACACAGAAAATATGGTATACCATTGTTGTGAGAATACTCATAATGACATGAATACCCAGCATTCCAGATAGTAAAAATCGGAATAAAAACTAATAAATCATAGAAATTGAAGCGTTGGCATTTATTTAATATTCCTAGGAGATTTCAATTGCGTATTTATGAAGAATGTATGTAGTATAAATAGAAATATTATTTAGCTAAGCAAACGTTTTTATTGAAATTTTAAATTAATTAATGTTAAATTTTTTATTTCCTTTTTCTATTTTTTGTTATTCAAAAATATATTTTTCTATTTGTTTTTGAAACAAGATTTGGCATTAGCAGAAATATTAAGGAATTTATATTTTAAAAATTTTTGTAAAAAATATTCCAGAAAAATATAATAATTTTTTTCGCATTTATTTAATTGTAAGATTTTAAAATGCTGGTTTAAAATATAAAAAAATTAAAATAATATTTCTTATAATTAATAAAAAAAAGAATTACGTTTTTGAAACAGGTATTCCAACTAAATTAAATTATTGCCTTCACATTATATATTGCTCAAAAAATTTTATAAAATATTTCTTATAAAATTTTAACAGTTTTTTCTGGTTTTTTTTTTTTTTTTTTTTTTTTGAAAAGTTATAGTAATAGTGTTTTTAAACTTGATTTTTTCAGCTGGATGTCATATAAATTATTGGTTAAATTCTTAAAAAAAATTTTCAGGAATTGTTATATAATTGATTGATAATGATAATTTATTGTAGATACCGAAAAACGAAATTCGAATTTCAATACCGTTTTAGATATGCGAAAGTATTGACATAAAGGAATAATACTATAGTTTTAAAGCAGACACTTCGAGTAGCAATTTTTCACTTAAATCTTTCAACATAGTTTTTTTCTTGTTTTTTTTTTTTGTTTAATTACAAACAAAAAATTCTAAAACAAAGTCTAAAAACGTTGCAGTTCGTTTTTTTGAATGAAATCTTAAGTACAATAACTTAGAATAGTTTTTTTTCACAATTATGAGAGAATTATGTAGAAAAAATAATTATCACAAAATTTTTCTTTTAATAATTTTTTTTTAAATGATTTTAAAATATTTATTAATTAATTTTGATTTTTTTTAAATATTTTTAAAAATATGTAAACTCGCTATATCCCTCTTAAACATTCATACATTTGCAGAATTCATTCATATTCGTAAATAAATCATTCACACTCGCATAAATTATATCAAACTGTTTGCATTTTAAGATTCACTAATGACTGCTTTATGGCGCGCGCAAGACCAAAACTGTTTATGGTA